ATTACTAAAGTAGGGGTGCCTGGGTGGCTCATTCACTTAAGCATCTGACTTCAGCTCAGGTCATGATCTCATGGTTTGTGAGTTTGGGCCCTGCGTCAGGCTCACTGCTAACAGCTCAGAGCCTGGAGCCTGCTTAGGAATCATGTCTCCCTCTCTCTCTGCCCCTCCCCCACTCACACTCTCTCTCTTACTCTCTCAAAAATAAGTAAAAATATTTTTAAAAAATTAGTAAGTAAAAACCAAATCAGTGCCTTAATCTGGTCTAAAATATGTAGTAGGGTGCCTGGGTGGCACAGTCAGTTAAGTCATGACCTTAGCTCAGGTCATGATCTCACAGTCTGTGAGTTTGAGCCTTGCATCAGGCTCTACACTAATGGCACAGAGCCTACTTGGGATTGTGTTTCTCTTTCTCTCTGCCCCTCCCCAGCTTGTTCTCTCTCTCTCTCAAAATAAATAAACTTAAAAAAAAGATTATAAATAAATAAATGAGAAGAGAAGAGAAGAGAAGAGAAGAGAAGAGAAGAGAAGAGAGAAGAGAAAAGAGAGAATATGTACTGAATATAGGTGTTAGCAAAATACTGGTATAGATAAGAATCCCATTCAAAAAATAACTGTTCAAGGGCACCTCGGTGGCTTAGTTGGCTGAGCATCCGACTTCGGCTCAGATCATGATATTGCAGTTTGTGGATTCAAGTCCCATGTTGGGCTCTGTGCTGACAGCTCAGAGCCTGAAGCCTGCTTCAGATTCTGTGTCTTCCTCTCTCTCTCCATGCCTCCCCCACTCACATTCTGTCTCTCTCTCTCTCTCTCTCAAAAATAAACAAATGTTAGAAAAAAAAATTTTTTAATAAATAAAATAACTGTTCTTGGGGCATCTGGCTGGTTCAGTAACTAGACCATATGACTCTTGTTCCTAAGGTAGTAAGTTCAAGTCCTACAATGGGCATGGAGCCTACTTAAAAAAATAAATAAATAAAAATAACTCCTCTTCCTTTTTTCTACCATGGATGTAACAATAAAAAAATTTACTAACCTGTTTCTTGCTCTCGCCATGCTCTTTGATTTCCTTCTTTCAAAGCGTTCTTCATCAGAAGAAGTTGTGTCACTACTATGAATGGCGTGCTTCTTTCTCCTATTTAAAGAGAGTAAAATCCTTAAAATCACTATACAGCAGCAAATTGTTTTTAAAAACACATTGCATGGAGTGCCTGGGTGGCTCAGTGGGTTACGTGTCCAACTCTGATTTCGCTCATGTCATAATCCCATGGTTCATGAGTTCAAGCCCCACATCAGGATTTGCACTGACAGCGCCAAGCCAGATTGGGATTCTCTTTCCCTCTCTGCCTCTCTCTCCTTCAAAAATAAATAAACTTAAAAAAAAAAAAATCACGTTGTAGAAGGGCACATGGGTGACTCAGCTGGTTAAGTGTCCAACTATTAATTTCAGTCCAGGTCATAATCTCAGTCGTGAAATCAATCCCCTTGTGGGACTCCATGCTAGGCATAGGGCCTGCTTAAAATTCTCTCTCTCCTGGGAATGCAAGCTGGCACAGCCACTCTGGAAAACAGTATGGAAGTTCCTCAGAAAATGAAAAATAGAACTACCCTACGACCCAGCAATTGCTCTACTAGGCATTTATCCACGGGATACAGGTGTGCTGTTTCGAAGGGACACATGCACCCCCATGTTTATAGCAGCACTATCAACAATAGACAAAGTATGGAAAGAGCCCAAAAGTCCATCGATGGATGAATGGATAAAGAAGATGTGGGATATATACACAATGGAGTATTACTCAGCAATCAAAAAGAATGAAATCTTGCCAGTTGCAACTACGTGGATGGAACTGGAGGGTATTATGCTAAGTGAAATTAGTCAGAGAAAGACAAAAATTATATGACTTCATTCATATGAGG